CTTTTGAAGAAATGTGTCTACCCGACTTAATTCGTCCGAAGTGTTAGTGGGTTTCTGCCGCTTTCATTCAATTTCTGTGATTAGTATAATTATTTCCTTTCATAATGCCATAACACCCTGAGGTGGTGTCTAGTCTGGAGCACTGGTGAGTGGAGAAGACCCTTGAGTTGGGTAAGATCAGTGCGATTTGGGACCGTCAAGTGCTGGTTCAGCTCACGCGGATTACGTTTTCAAGGCAGCTCTCAATTAGAGTGACATTTACTGCAAGTGAAAGTAGGTTGACTTATTTTTATGCCCTTTGTTCGGATGTCTGGTTGATACTTTTGAAGTGCATCTCCGTAGCCCTGTTGTGACACTGTCGTTTACTGTATTACCTGAACTCATGCAAGGAGTTCCCGTCACATTCGTTACTTTGGAAAAGATTTGATGCCATCTCGTTATGTTTAAACGGAACAAGTCCCACTGTCCTTGCACTCCTCATGTATCGTCGAAACGGAACCACTCGTACGTGGTTTATCCTTTCTACTCAACATATACGAGTTAGGAATGAGTTACGTTTGTCAGCCATCGTTTCGACATTTAAGCTGCGTCACAACTTTGTTGGAGAATCCTGGAACCTCTAACCCCTACCATTACTTTCAAGCCAGTCGTAGCTATCACGGTGATTCGCTTTTTCTCGTGAGAGTGGTGTTGGTGAAGGCCAGTCTGGTTACTGCATTGAATGGTGACCTATTTGGTCATCATATGTTGCTTTACGGAAATCCATCATGGCAGTTTTCCTCTACTTGAACACAGCTTTCGTCTCAGTTAATCCGACGAAATAATGTTAGGGCCGATTTTGAAAAATTTTCCATGGAAATCCCTTAATAGCCTGAAGTCTTCACCACTATTCGCGATGTGGAACATGAGTTTCTGGAAGCTGTCTCCTAAGAGCCGCACGACATGTGAGGTGCATTTTGGTTATTGTTTCCCCTTTCTCCGCTAGCTTTATGTTCGAAATGCCCGCATACTCAGGCTCTTAAATCGCGAGTTTCTACTCGGCAACAGCTTGACAACCTTTTGGTTCATAACGGCAGCATCACTTGAGCCGGAACAACTATTTGTACTGGGTCAGTTGATGAAGATCGCCTCACACCTTCAAGGTTTAGGTAGGGTTATGTCGCTTTGGTGGGTCGACACGCTGTCGGCCTTTCCTATCTTCCGAGATCCACTTGAGGTTATCTGTTGATTCAGTTGTCAGGATACTTGTATCACCTCTGGTTATCCCACCACCATGGTGGTTACTAAATGAACAACCAAAGCCGTGTAGTTTTCGAGTTTCCATTCATTTGTTGAGGCGACAGGATTATCATCTTTCAATCTAGGACAGGGTATAGAACGCTGTGGCACAGCCGGTGTTTTTGCATGGCTCAGTGGCATTGTCATTGTACACTGCCCACTTTAGAGATGGATCAAGCTCTAGTCTCTGCTATGATGAACTTACTGGCGCGATCTTACAGCCACCTTCTCCTAGTATGAGACTTCAACCTGCATGGCTTAGAAATCTCAGTCACTCTTGGTTAGCGCTTCAAGGCGGAACTGCAAGAGCTAATCGCTGGTTCACCGAGGTACAACCATGTCACTTCTCCAACGCGTTTCAGGACAGGAAACAATCAGACACTCTTGGATCTCACTTTTACCAACGAGAAGTTCATGATCGATGTAGTAACAGCGTGCACTCCTTTGGACCGCAGTGGTCATGCGACACTAGTGTTCCACTACATGTGCTACGCAGAGTATCTTTAAAAAGGTACCAAGCAATCTGACGTCGTATGATGACATGTCCGACCTCATGTGTACGCCCAACTGGCCTTTCTTAACCGATTGGTCCCCTAAAATGGCCTGCGGGGAATTTGTCAACAGATACAACTGGTTAGTGGCAAGCGCATCGCCAACCAAAATACACCGTTGGAAAAAGATAGCTATTCCTAAGGAGCAGGATTCGAAGATACATGGCGGCGAGGGACTCGGCACGGCTTACCCCTATGAACTGTCCGAGCGAGGACACCTGGGATGACTACAACACAAAGGAATCAGTGTGTTCAACTCGTGCAGGAGGATAAAGTAAGGAACCAACAAGGCCTAGTGCTAAATGTTTGCTCTAACCCCAAGCTACTATACAGACACGTAAACAAACGTCGCAAGGTTGAGCGCGAAATTCCCCCTCTGCACACAGCATGCGCGTTAGCACAAACGGCACAAGAGGTGGCCAACGTTCTTAGACAACAATTTGGCCGTACCTTCCAAAGTGTGCAATCATCTTGCATCCTGCCTACGTATATCATGCAGCCATCAGGTCTGAACCACATATCCTTTACAACCACAGCCGTACTGAAACGGCTGATATTCTTGCGCGAGTGCAGCTCCCCGAGTGCGAACGACCATCGCCATTAAGGCGTTGAAACTTGCTGCCATTATTTTAGCTGAACCGTTAGCAACACGATTTCAACAATGTCTTAACGAGATGCGCGTCCCCACCATGTAGAAGCACGGAATCATCACTTCAGTCCACAAAAGTGGCAGCTGTGTAGAACCGCTAATTATCGCCCGTTAACATTACTTTCCGTGATCTCCAAGGTCATAGAGTCCATTGCAGCTGTGGCTCTCATAGGTACTTGGAGAGTATCAAAAATCTTGTTTCATAGCACCACGGGTTTCGTCAAAATATGTCTCGCACTGCTAATCTGAACATAGCTTGGGTATGCTAGACGGCATCTGTGGATGCTGGTGTAGGAATATACGTTGCCTACTTGGATTTTGCAAAGGCATTCGACCATCTGGGCCACCGCATTCCACTGAAAAGGTTCCAGAAGTATAAAATCGGCAATCTCGTTCTAGGCTGGATAGACGGCTTTCTCGTTCAACTTCACCTGAATGTGAGGGTTCGCAGCACCTCATCCGAACCAATCGAAATTCACCCCGGCGTAACACAGGGCACGATACTCAGGTCCCGCCTGTTCCTGGTCTTCATAAGTGATCTCGCGTGGGTACTGTCTTCAAATTTCCTACTTTTCGCCGATGGTCTAAGGAGATGGCGTGCTATTACGACTGGAGGATCACGCAGCGCCACAAAATGATCTGACCAATGCGTGCACCCGGTCCATCGAAAACATTCTGCAGTTCAAGGTCAGCAGACGCGAAGTTCTCAGCATATGCCATTAGAGTACACAACTAGCGGACAAGTCCACAACTTCTACAGCGGGCGTCTCATGAGAGCGATCTCGGTGTGCTCTGGCAAACTGACCTTGGTTGTTTGGGTCAGACTGAAAAGTTATCAAAAAAGAAACCCAGCACTTCGGCCTCCTTCGGAGAGCGCTTTGGAAGTTCGGTGTCAGTCTTTCCGAAAATGCTTGGCACGCAAGTGAAGCTGCATGCGGAATACGCTATCCAAGCGTGACAACCCTGACAGAAACACCATCTTAGGACGCTCGATAGTGCACAATGCAAGGCGATGAAGAATGTCAGAAGGTCGTCCAACCTTCCATACCAACCCAGGCTAAAAACTGAATGTGCAGCGGACCTTATCGGCGTCTGCCGGAGATCACAGTGGTGTATCAGATCCTAAGATTCCCCAACCACACATGCTACTATTTTTTGGAGCGGATCCAAAAGTGATCGTTGAAGAGTCATCATTTTAAGTTGGCGACGCAATACAGCTGACTGTAATGTCGACAAGACTTTCTCTTCCTCCGAGTGCCACAGCCCTGGAACTCCCTATTGGTGCACACAATTAGTGCTCCCACCTTATCCCTATTCCAAAAACGCTTTAAGGATACCCTGAGGAGTTTAAACTACGTGAAATAACCCAAGACCATCAGATGATGGCATTAGTGCGAAACCAACACTTTCATAATCCCCGTGGACTTCAGGCAGGAACACATACATGTGTTAATGCAAACCTCTTGTTGAGTCATGTATTAGTGCGTTCTTTTACCGTCACTGTTTTTTCACCTTTTAATTTTCACCCTAAACTACTTACGGGACTTGTGTAGCATTTGCTTAAAAGCTATTGCTCCATTGTATTGAAGGCATCAAAGAACACTTCATTTGAAATCCCGGTGCTTGCGGACTGTTACTTATGTTTGGTTAGAGCGACTGAGCGATACTTATTAGATTGAAACCTTTTTTGCTCCACACATGAGCGATGAGCGCTTACATCGTCTACCATTGTTTGCGGCTGTTGCAACTGGTTGGGTGAGATCGAGAGGCGGCTAAGCAATGACTTGGCAAGGATGTATGATGTAGTTGACTGGAATGTCTGACCAGGCCTTCTTAATGGTTGTAGACGTTGTTGTGTACCCAAGTCTGAGACGGCAGTGTCATAGGTAACTTAATGTACTAGCTATCACATGAGTCGGCCGGTGACCGAGTGGTCTGCGCGCCTCGTTTGCAACCATAAGCTCACTGATTCGAATCTGCTTATGGGTGGGCGCCCTCGCGGTATACTCAGCCCGCGTGCGACTGGTAGTAGTCGCGTGGCAGTCAAGCGCCGTTACGGCGTGTAGCTGGCCATTTATTTATTATTATTTACGTGTAAATGATGCATAGAAACGATGGAGAAGCAGCCGGCCGTGTACGCAAATGGATCTTATGCACATAAGACGATGTGTCCGTCAAGACAAGCTGAATCTACAGCAGACCTCAGTCGACATATCGCAATCGGGGAATCAATGACATTACTGCGTTCACTGTTTTGCGATCCCATCGCACTTCTTTTATTCACTTTTCCCCCCTATCTCTTTGTTCTGTATCTTACAGTATACCTCCTTTTGCCCCCATTGCTAACATCTATTATCCTGGTCATACCAGTCGCGTTAACTGGATTCTCCATATTCGAATGCTCTGCTCATACTCGTTTAACTGGGATGAACGGAGCATCTTGTTGCGTTTGTTGTATGTTCTATAAACGCATTGTTCCTAATGAGGTTTTACTTATTTTATGTTGCGACTGTCATTTCCAGGACGAACTTCAAGATTTGAGGGAGCAGGTATCGTTATACGAGAACGTTCTCAAATTGGACGGTTTTTGCGACGCAGGTAAAGTCGACGATGAGGACTCGTTGCAGTATAACCGGAATACGCTCTATCCGAACAGCTTTCCCGTGGGTCGCAAGAGACCCAAATCTGTTGACCATATGGTTACATTTGAGCCCGAAGTGACTATGTCCGGTTCATCCACCAAACCCCGCCCGGCTTCAGCATTGGAACGCAGGGCGCTAGATACCCCTGACCCACATACTGTTAAAGAGTTTCGTTTACTGCCAAACGATGCTGGCGAATTCGCCCTGGATGCTCCCCGGTGAGTTAATGTTGATTCAATCGGTACTTATACCTCTGGTACCGAACTGTAAAGAGGCATTGTTATTTTCCCTCGTGCTTTCATGCGAAAGGCTGGGCCCAGTCAGTGTTTGCAACGAAAGTTCGATAGGTTGTCCATTTCGTTGGCCGATATTCGCTCATTGTTAAACATTAAGTCGTGAATATCTCTGCTACTTACTCTCCCACTCCCACCTATAAGTGATCCACCATTTGCACTGATCCTCGTCTATGAGCATTTTTCAACGTACATTGTACAAATACGTTTGATCACCTTTCATCTACTGTCTACACACTGTTGTCTCTACTCAATTTAGCTATGAAGGTGGGCGGCCATCTTTCCATCAAGCTCCCACATATGCTTACTTTTGTTGGCATGCTTGATCAATTTTGCATCCATGGCTCCGTAAGCTTTAGGTTATGGTCCATATTCCGAATGTCTTGTCCGATCAATTTATCACCCGTTCCTATCGTTGTTCTTTCGGTGCTTCGCTTTTGTTTGTTCTGGTTAGCTGTTTTGGTGTGTTGCTGTGTCAGATAACTAACTCGATGGTTACTTCTTCGTTCTTTGGACCATCAGCTGAGGTTATTTGTTCTTCTGTTTGATTTGTTTCCACGTCTCTTCCACAATCTCATCGACATAAATGTGTTAAGATTATTCACGTATTTTTTACTGCGTGCATTTGAACTCACCACAGCTGTTTTTACAAGAAGGGACCATCGGCGCCTCCACTGTCCCAGCGCCTGTGCGACCGCTTGCGGCTGTATGATGCTGAATCGCCCACACGGAATGCGGGTGCACTATTGACACTTTCTTGGTTCTCGACACTATCCGGAGCCGTTTTTTCCTTTGGATGGTTGGGTTGCTTCTAATACCGCCATGTACAAAAGCACCCCTTGCAGTCTGTGGCATTTCTTTCCTGACCGGTATCACTTTTCCTACGAATAGGATCAGCACAGTGGCCTTTTCTTCTCTTGGTCTGTAGTCTTCGGTTGTTTACTCACCGCTGATCGATTTTGTGTTTCCTAACAGGTCACTTAGGCGTTGTCTGCTTATCTGTTTTAATCGCCATTGATGTGCGTTCGCATCTCACCTCTTTTCTCTATTCTTCTTCGCCGGTTGTTTTCATCGTTGGATGTAGTTCGTGTATCAAAACACAATCGTTTCCCAAGAGCGGTTCAAAAGCCATTCCTTGTCGCGATCCAGATCCCTTCCACTGTCTTTCTCAACTCGATGTGCTTACAAGCACCCCTGTGCCGTCCGCCATGATGTGTCGACTTCGTTCGGAGCTTATGCGTTGCCTTACGAAATACAAAGCAAAACGAGAGCAAGTGACCCGGTTACATGAGGTCGTTTTTACAACCCGTTGTCAACTGCATCAGGTAGTCGAAAGCTCAAAAATGTCGGAAAAGAATGCTGATGCACTCCAGGTTGGCGGTCTTTTTCCATCACTTTTGCTTTCACGAATTCTCGCATTTCTACTCTATCGCTGCCACTTGTTATCTGTTCTTCTTCGCTCGAGGTTTCGGTTGCTTACTAGCTTGGTGTTTCATCTCTTTTCCAACTTTTTATTGCGAAGTCAACCGCCTCATTCAACCGGAGAAACTCACATTTGATTTGTCAGTTGTTTTTACCACACGTTGTGTTATTTGACGATCGCTTTGATTTCTTCCACAAGAGGCCACAAAACTCAGTTTAACAACACTTCGGGTGTGGCTCCCACTAAATTAAGTTAGTAACCCTTGCTTTACCTCGGTGGAGCACTGTGCCTCACTTGGTATCATAGGGATGATTGGGCCTCTGTTTAGTAACTCACCAAACGAAATGCGTATGAACTACTCAATCAGGCACCAGCTCCCGATAAACAGGATTCCCTGAAATCGGTCCTCTACCTTTCAAGTACGCTGTTTAGCTGATAACTCGGGGTGGTGTCCCCTAAGTTCACTCATGAATTCGGCTTAGGCAGCTGGGTTGTATGACACCCACTAAAGAAATCTTGGAACGTTCCACTGCTTCACTGTGATGTACTACTTTTATTTTCGCCATTCATGCATCATCGTCACTCCACTGTTTTTGTTGTTTCTGGATTCTTGTTTTCATGATTCGCCTTCCAACTTGTTCGCTGACGCCTATCTACCGCAATCAGTGGAACTCCTTCTGCATCAATACTCGTTTCGCCTGGCGTGTTTCAATGTACCTACGTTTTTACAAATCTGGCCACAAACTGGTCTTGTGTGTACCTTGCATCCCCTCGCCATCGATGTTTACTGTCTTTCTGAAACGCTATTGCACGATCCCACTGATGGGATTAAGTTGATATCCCCCAATGATCATGCAGCCATCTTTCACCTACATCTATCTGTTGACCTAGAAGCAGCCCCAGCAGGTTACTTTGGCGTTGGTGTATCAGTATGTAATAATACCGAGGCCACACTGTTGGACTGTTTCCCGATTAATAGCCGACTGTGTATAGTTCGGTTTCGGAATTCATGCTTGATCAACAGGCGTCGCGGGTAGAGACTCCATTTGATTGTCATCTCCGCCTACAGTACAATTGATTTCAGCATTGATTCTGTCAAGAACGACTTCTATCGTGAATTTCCTCGGCTCTTGAGCCGTTTTTGCAAGTCCAGTTTTGTTTTCCTTGTTTAGGATTTCAACCTGCGGGTTGCTCCCTTATGACCATGTGAACGTCACTTTGGTGATCAATATGCGCTCGACGAGAGCCGCCCAGACAATTGTGAGATACTTCTCACACTATCTAAAGACGACCGTTCGTTTCTTTAGAACACCAACTTTAAGTATGTGAGGAGACGTTCCACGGCACGGTGTTCCCTTCACTAACACATGCCATGTCTCAAATTGATCGCATCGCAATCCGTTACTTATTTCTTGATCATGTACGGGATTGCAGATTCACCTGGTCTATCTGCCTAGCTTCTGTTCACGCATTGCTGTGTGAACACTTACATGAGGGTCTTTGAAAACGAAGCACCGTGCGGTTGTTACAAACCCGCTAGCGGCTATTTTAAGTTTAACTGAGCCGACAAGCTTGCCTTGCAACTTCACTCGGTTGCAATTCCTCACGAGACTGATCAACACTGGACTTTCAGTCAAATGATGCTCCCTTCCAGTCAAATGACTATCTTACTTAGCCTTCTTTGAACACCTAGATCTCCATTTGTTCGATGGATCTGTTTGACTGCCGTAGAAATATTTCAGCAGAATTCGATCATATTGAACTGCACCATTCTACCAGTCAATCACTCAAATAAAGCCTACGCAGTGATCGCTTCAGAAATGCAGGCCGCTACTTTCACTCGCGCTGCTCGCAAGCTCTTCCAGCTTTTTGTCTAGCTTCCAAGTGAACCTGGTGTCAGTAAAGCGGACTACTCGCCGACTGTCAAACTACGGAGGCTCTTGGATCGATGGGTCGAACTTTTTCGCTTCCAGCTAACTTTCTCTTTATCGTCCAATTGTTTGCTTGGCGTGCCCTGTGTCATCGCACTTGATCCACCCAGCGATGCGAAACTTTTCTTAACTATATGGCACTTGAAACGATTCAAGACCGTTGTTCAAGTATGGTGTCGCAGTGGTCGTCAACCAGCTGACCTCATCCTTCTCCGAAATTCGACATGAAATGTTACGTTCTTCCTGGGGTGTGTCAGTTATTGTCCTGCTTTTCAAGTTAGGTCCTCGCAGTTCATGCATCAATCACCGAGGGATTGGCTTCCTTTCACTTATTTTCAAGCTATTGTCGTCCATTTTGTTTCGTGAGTCACAGTATCATGTGAAACAGGATAAATTCCGCCATGACTGTGGATGTATGATTCAACTCTCCACCTCCGCCAACTCTTGGAACACTATCACGTCTACCAGAGATCCACCATCATTGTGTTCCTAGACACCCTTGCTTCATTCGACAAAATTGATCAACCTGCTTTCTAAGGAACGGAGTCCCTACACGTACTGTACATCCATGTCTCTGAAAAGTGGAGGCTTATGATATGGTTTCTTTGTCCTTCGCTCTGATTAGCAGTGTACGATAGAACTGTCGAATCTCCCCGTACCTCGTCACTTTTGCGATTGAAGACATTCTGTCTATAGCTGTAGGATGTTACTAACATTTTCACCCAGAGCTTTTACCAGGTGAGCGATTGACCGACTTAGAATATATTGATGACATTGCCTTACTTAGTGACAACTCTGCAAATGCAAACCATTCTCAACCATTTGGTGATTGAGGCATCTAACTATGGTACACTCCCCTCCTTTGAAGTGTAAAGTGCTGTTTTAGAGTTGGCCCACCTCTTCACGTGCTCACGTACGCAGCTTGAACAGCTGAATAGCTTTGTCTATTTGGGGAGCTGATTATCTGCTGGTGGCATTGTTGGAAAAGGAATCTCTCCCTGCAGTTCCATAGTTCTGTCGGTGTTTGCCATTATGAGTCGCATGTAACGTCGTCGGAAGGTCTTCCCCTTGTTAAATACCGCGTTTACAATAATTCCCATAGAGCAGTGTTGGTAGCTAGAAGCTAGTCGTGTCCATTTCGCTCGAATGACATGCGCAGGCTTTCGGGTTTCGATAGTGGACACTTAAAGAAGACTGCTTGTGTGTGGTCCATCGCGATGTGACTGGACCTTAATGCACTATTGATCCCTTGGTTGTGCTTTGTTCTTCTAGGTCACCTGCTTAATACCGAGGCGCAATGGATTCATTTGCCTAACCTCAGGTCATGAGCGTAACAATATGAAAATAGAAAAGAACGACATGAGTAGATGGTCTATTTGTGAGGAGGACAGTTTGTAAAGTTAAAAACAGGGGGAAAAGTGCACAAGCACCACTAGGTATACGAAATAATTACTAGCTGTTAGCATGGCCAGTTATTGGGATCCTTTCTGGGTAAAAGACGCGCACAAGCTCGACTCAGCCTTTCCGTTAGTTTCGCTCTCTGCTTTGCCATATCCTTTACTAGTTACCTCCGAGTTGTTCCCAGTTCAGTGCAGTAGTGGAAAACAGCGCACTGATACCGGTGAATAGCATACCCAGGGAAGGTATGGTCTGGGCATTGCAAGCGGTTTGATTTCAACATCACCAGCGCTTCTGTTACCAACCATCTGCTGTTGAACGTCGGTATTGCTCGTTTCACACGGTCTGTAGACATGAACACTATTTCGCAGGCGTTGCTGTTTACACATATCCAGGCTCTCTATTCTTCAGCACAAATTTTGCTACTTCCCCGGTCGATACGGCACTGGCCACACTGTTTTTGTAAATTCAACCTGTTATTAATGGGCTCATTTCGCCCTGTCTACCGTTGAAGGGGCCTTCGAAAAGTCTCACGGAAGTATGTATTGCTCTTATTGGTAACATTAACAGCGGAGATGATGAAGTTGCCCGACGACAACTCCAAGCGGTTATTTCGAAATTAGTTGCGTATCAGCGCAGGTGTATAATGCCGTGCACTTAGGATCTCTGGCCGCCCCATAGTTACACCCATATAGATACTGCTTCTGCACTGGTAGTCTCTCTTGTTCTATGCACTCAAATCCCTTACATATGTCTACATTTTCCGCGTAGCCTATCTTCATATTTCAGCCTTCACGGACTCCTCAGTGCAGCGCTGAAGCATCAATGATTCACACTGCAGTTGGTGCATGTTGCCGAACTAACTCCAATCGTCGCATGTGATTTGCACTCTGCTACGTTTCACAGGTACAAGCATGATCCACTGGGCGGTACCCACCAGATTGGAGGCCGGGTACCTTGGATCGCTGTCACAATGGTGGCTGCCAGGGACAAGCTGGTCTTGCGAACTAATAGTTGTTCGACCCATGCGGTTTTCCCGTCGGGTTCTACCGAATGGTCTTGTCTCCGTTCACTAAGTTTATCCCCAATACTACTTTGTATGTTTTCCCCTCATCGTGTTTTACACTGTTGATGCTAAACCTATACTCGGTAGCCTCGTAGTCCACTGCTTACTAGATTTGCATTGATTAATCTTCATGCATACTCACTCAATCCACAATACGTCATGTTTTAATTTTCTGTCCATGCGCAGCTCTTAAAAGCGATGCACACCCCTAATATGAGTCAAATCTTTCTGTAGTCGATCGGAAAGCCGCAACGCTCAAGCTGCATGCGCCATCGAAAAACTTGTTACATTTTCCTTGAGTACTATATCTGATAGCTTGACATAACGGAACCATACTGACACGGACAGCTGCATTGCCTCCTCAGTGGTATCCATAATATTTCCGCTATTTATTCTCAGAGTCAGTCATTCCACCAGTTAAGAGATTGTAGCTTCGTTGTTTCATGTCCTCGATTATCAGCACAGTATAATAAAAGTGTCAAACGGAACACGAACAATACGCGATGCAACCGCATTCGAACTGACTCTCTGCCCTACACATTCTGCCACTGAACGATGTGGCTGACTGTGGCTGACAATTTGCGGGCTGGTACTTGCGGTCTCTCTGTTTCCTGAGAAATCGTATCTTATTTTTTGCTTTCATTCGTTATTCTCAAATCACTGTTCACCGATTGTACTTCTACAGGATCGCGTCGTTTCCTTGGAGCGTGAGTTGGCCAACGCACGTGAGATCACTGAAGCACCTGGACCGCTGGAGAATGTTCTGCAATGCCAGTTAAAACGTTTAAAAGAAGATTACGGCAATCTAGAGCAGGAGCTCCAGGTAATTTCCTGAGCTTCACCCTCTGGTGTCCTTGCTTTTTCGTTCACATTCACTTGTTGTTCTGAGTTTGCCATTCCCACGGCCTCATATGACTGGTAGGGATTGGCATCCAACCTGCGCCCGGCGCATTTAACGCAACAGACGATGCAATTCGCTCGCTCATTGGTTCACGGGCAAGTTGAATATCCATTGCTGGCTACCCCAGGTGGAATAAGGACACAATTATGCATACTCTTGTTGCAGCTCTACTTTAAAAACCATTTGTCTAGGCGGCTGTTTTATCTCCGCCACTATGTCAGTTGAAACCCTAAACCCCATGGTGAAAGCTTGTCTGGCATTCTCCATCTTGGACTACTCACTACCTAGGCGCTGCATCGTAATTCTCTATTTGAGGTGACATGCCGCATTGTGTCATCTCTCTTTATGGTTGCAGAATACGCTCTGAATCCTGAGATCGCACTCATATCAGCGATGACCATCCTCAGAATCCATTCTCGACGCAAAATTTGTTCACCTTTGGATCCTCTGCTCATGTAATATCTTCTAACGTGTGCTGTATTTGCCACACATTGTCACTTTTCGAGATTCACCCGTGCCAGTTGGTGTACTGAGGTTGATGTGGATTAATTGAAAAATGAGGCTGGTACCTACCTATGGCTTGCTGAATTGAATAGCGCAATTTGTCCACAATGCTCATTCTTGTGGGTCACTACCCACATGACTCATCTAAACTGTGATTGGAAATCAAGCTAAGCGATCTTAAATACCTAGCTTAGCTTTTGCCATCTCTCGGAAAACCTGCCCCTTTCCACTGTTTCTCTTTTTCTATATCACACTCGCCTTACGAATCTTCATCCTACGATGGTACCATGACCTTTATAAAATGAGTGAAGATACCATATCTTGTGTAGCCACCTGAATGTACCATTTTATCATGCTTCCAAAGTATATAGATTCCGCCATGAATGCAGCTACGTCATTGCTGTCACCGCAATAGCCATGCCCACTTTACCTCCTTCACCATCATCATTCAGCATACCTGCTTTCTCATTATTTTTCCCTCAGAGCACTCGGACTCGTCTACAGACGGCCTTGGGGGCCGAAGCAAGGGCGTTGGAAGATGCTAAGACAGCCAATGAACGTTTGGCCGCCAGTGCTGCCGAGCGGGATGCTGCAGTGGAACGCGCAAGAGCTGTTTGCGAAATGCATTACACATCGATGCGTCGTCGATTAGAGTCTGAATGGACCGCTGAACGAGAGGCGGCCACTTTACAGGCTGAACAAATGATCCAAAGACTAAGGTATGTCTCGTTGTCCGTTTCAGGCTGCCGCTTCTCGTTTTAAGTTGGGTCCCACTTCTCAGTCTTGTCGATACTTTGTCTGCCTTATCTATGAATTATACTAATAAAATCATTGTCTGGACGATAAATTCACTATACCACATTCTCATGTATTCTTCTTCTCAGACATGAATGTAATGAACGTGAGAAGGCGATACAGAAACTCACTCACTTGTACGAAGACACTCAAATGGCTACCCAGAGGGCGGTTGAGAATGCATTAATTCAGGTGAGATACTATGTGGACTTTGACATCCATTATGAGGATTCACTCGGTATTTCTGGCCCATTTGACCCTCAGCAGGTTTTGGGACGGCGGATATTTCGGTGGTGTTGGATTATGGGCGTCAACCGATAGTCCTTGCTTTCCAGTATCGAGTTGCCAGTCTACGAGCTGGCGCTTGCCAACTGGTGCCGGACCGGTCTCCGAGTGCGACCGGGCAGCACCTAACGTGTAGATAGTTCGCTTGCAGTCCCGGTGACTTCAATCACGGTCCATACTGGGGTGACATATCATTTTATTCACACATCGGATGCTTTAAATGAGCACGACTTTTTAACCAATATCCCGAATCTTTGATAGTAGCATCACTGCAATCATCACTTAGCTGGCTTAGCTTGTACATGCGCTGGTGTGAATGTGATACACCTACGCTGTTGATAGTGTGGCGATTTATATTCTTTCACCTTCGCGATGCTTGTTAGAATCGGCATACCAATTGTGCTTGTTTGATTGGAATCGCCTGATTGTAACAGTGGTAGAGTAGCTACGCACCTCTTATTTCTTTTACCAAAACCTGCGCTCCATTCTGTACTGCTGCAGGCTATGGAAGAACGAGAAGCAGAACGAATTCGCTTTTGGCGTGAGGAACTTCCTAACCAGGTTGGTCTTTTCGGCCTTATTTTTCGCGAATTATGCGGTTTGTGTCATTTAACTTGAACTACTGGACTGTAATGGTTTCGCGAGTGTTTCCATTGATGTGCTCTTCGAAATCTCCTCATGCATCAGGTAGGTATAGCTCTGGGATGCGTGCCGTATCTTCGGCTTGTTTTCCCATCGTGTTTCATTATTTAATTTCAAAAGGTTTTGAACACATTGGTTTTTCTAGGTTGTTATTGTGGCAACATTTTCCTCTTTGCGCACGACTTTTTTCAGACCGAGCTTTTTATGGGAAAGTGTGGTGAAGGTTGCAAGAAATAACACTATTCATTATTTTTGGAAATCTTCACCCTATTTCCCCACAAAAAGCCAAGCAAATTATGTACAGATTCATCTGACCTAAAGATATTCTTGCGTCAAAGCGAAACACTGTCGTATTAAAAATCTACAAAATCCGATTTGTATTCAAAACCTGGAATTATGAAATCCCAGTCGGTTCCAAACCTATTCCAAGCTATTGAGTTGTATTCATCATCTTCATCATCAACAGTACATCACTCATTTGAATTGACGCTTCGCTGCCATACAACCGTGATGGCCTATGGAATAACTAATAATAAGATGGGGAGAAGGGGGACTTACCTGAAAACTTTAATACCCTAAACAAACATTCAGGGTCAAGGCGCCTACACCTTGTGTAGACAACATACCGTCACAAACAGCTGGCTATCGTGCAAAGATAAGGCTGCATCTGCGAGACAGCTTACTTGCGGCTTTCATTGCCCCGCGTCATAATCAGCCATTACCCCGCAGATAACTCAGCACCAAACATACAAACAGGTAATCCGATTGTATTACGTTTATCGAATCTCGAGTTGCGTTGACCTCAAATGGACCGCATTGCCAGCAGCTACATATAGCGTGCTTCAGTCCACTAGTGTCGATCCATTTGGATTACAACCTCAATTCCGAGCACGCTCTTTTGCACTCCTCTGTGTTATTTGCTCTGCTGGAAATGGCGAAAAATACAAATTTGGCGGGTATCTATCGCCTACCTATGAAGGTCCAAATTTAACTGCAATGGAGTGTCAGCAACTACTTATGAACTGAGTGGATGAACCGATACAAATCCTAAGTGTCTCATATGCAGAGTAAGAACGACATTCTGAGTCGTTTCACCAGTTAGCTTGATGCCTTCGCCGGTTAATAGATGGGTTTATGACGTTTCAGTTATCTTGCTTTAACCATGGAAGTTAAATTCAAAATGTCCTTAACGTTTCGCAATGACGTCAAACTAAGGATCCACGGATTGACTTGCAGCGTTTATAAGTGCTACAAGCGCGTGTGAAGGGGTCGATAACACTGGGTACAGCCAAGTGCTGTTGCACTCATCCCATCTATGAAGACATTTAGTGACACCAATGAGCGCTTGACCCACTCCCAAGCGGATCGGTTTGAACGCTAAGTCGAACATTTTGGTAAACCCTTCAGCCTATCCACCACACCGACACTCTGACCGGGCCACTTTTAGTTATTATGGTTCCATTGATTATGTTCAATGATGTTCTCGGATCATCCACACCAACTGTGTATCTCTATTCGTTCGACTTCCATTGTGAGTCAAGTCAGGTATCGGTTGTACATTGCATCTACCAGTTACATAGTACACATTTGTAACGGTTGTGCCATCGATTTAATCCTACTTGCGCATCCACCTCATATTGGCCTCAGACATAGTTCGCGCTTATTTTTCACATCTTTGGTAGGAGAGAATATTGGAATGTAATGTATCGAAGAAGCCAGTCCTTAAGAAGAAACCGTTTCATTGAGCAGAGGTAGCGGTGAAAATCACTGCAGATTTGAGTAACAAAACGCCTTGATGTACATTGCTCTTGTATTTCCGTATGGAACAACTTTTTAGGGTGATAAGGGTCCTCCAGTGATTCAAGTAAGCGAACGACGAGGAACTCACTATTGCGTGCACCAACTTCAGCTAGTCAATAGAGCCTCGTAGACTGATAACTACGCCTGCGTCCGTTGATCGAATCCATCCGGTTCCCCATCGATTTGTTGTCCGATTCGTTTTTTTTGAATCCCTTTGGTTATTCTGATTAAGCACTTCAATTACATATGGCACACATGTTATCATCCGTTTTTTTTCACGCTTTGCGACCCACGGTTGTTGTTCCAATGCATTTCATTTTTTCACATTTTCGTAACGACTTTCGTCTACTCGGCCGCATCCTACTTTTGTTGTTGTTACTTTCCATTTGGATGCAATTACTCATTTTATTTTCAACTTCGATTTTGGCTTACATTTGATGTGTTTTGTTTTTAACATCTCATTCGCCCCAGTTGGCCATTGCTCGCATGAATTCGGACCGAGAGTGGGCCGAAAAATGTGACATCGCCGTTCGGGAGGCCGTTGCTGCATGCGAAAAGAAATGTGCACTGGAACATACCGCGAGTGAGGAACATGCATATTGCTGTTTTAACTTCATTTTGCTGTGCTATTTGATCACGAATTTTCTATAGGTTGTTTGTTCTAAAGCTGTTATGCTCTTTCTGACCACATATCAGGTTTGTTTCGGAGGTATAATTTGCGATTTCTCCATTTTGCGTTTCTCATCCGACTACCTGGTTGGTTAGTACGACGTTGCACACGCAGTCGCTATTTACAATATGGTTATACCCGACTGGCGACGGTCTCCACACTTACGCACCTCCCCATACACCAGTCAGCTTCACTTCCACTATATACATTGTAGCTTCCCAAACACTGGCCTAGCTGTGATGGTTTATTTCGTACGATACTTCTAGCCTATCTGCTTGGTTCTCCGTGTTTTGGCTGCGTTGCGACACGCAATCTACATTGGGACATCGGTTCACTTTGAAGTAGACCTCGGTCATTCCGATCACAGGGACCGCATCCGAAATATAGGTGATCCGGTGTTGCTGTTCTCAAGACGCCACCCCACGACCGACGATTTCGTCATCGTTTAGACTCCTCAGGTGGAAATAGCCTAAATTGGAATGGAACTCGGGGCCTAGTAGTTAACGACGGACGTCTTGGTTACATTGCCACTGAAAGCAACACTTGGCACAGCGGTAAGGAATTCAAACTTAGATTTGGAAAAACCGCAATGTGGCTTGGATTGCGACGCACAGTCTCTATTGAGACCTCGATTCATTTGGAAGCAGACCGGTCATTCCGATCACAAGCACCGCATCTGAAGTGGATGTTATTCGGTACTGGTTGTTTGTAATTTCCGCTTATGCCACTACCGACTGCAGTTCTGATGCTGCGAAAGCCACCTACCATGGACTGAACACGCTGCTTCGCAGTGTTACCAGTTCGCATGTCGTTCTTGTAGCATGATATATGAATGCGCAAGTAGGTCGTCTGCGCTCTTCGGGAGCGTTTGCTAGAGGCTAAGAATGGACTTAACTGCGAACAGACGGACAACAGCCAGTGTCTGCTACAAGTATGCACGGAACTGACTGTTTCTGAGCAGCTCCGTCTTTGGACACGGTGGGCACCGAATTGTCATTTGGCGTTCCACCGTATCTGGCCAGCGATGAATCCAACTAGATTGCGTTTCTATAAGTTGCAGGCGACGTGGCTCCATTCTGGGTTTTCGCTTTTTCTGGAATATTTGTGTCGAATTTATTCGTGCTTTAGTACGCTGTCATTTTTCCATGTACCCTATCGCGCGATGTACCAAGCGCCTCCATCGATTTGCAACTGAGAAGTTTTCCTAACCGTCAATCGGACATGCCTATCAGGATGCCATGCGTACCGAACTTTCACTCTCGTTCTCTGCTGATGCCGACCTTCATTGGAAAAGAATCTCAACCACCATACATGACCGTGGAGGCTATGTTTGTAGTACTATCCGTTTTCACCGCACCAGTCACTGGATATCCACGAGATCGGTGAACCTGTTAGAATCCAGGAGAAAACTCCCGGCTAGCTATGAGCACAATGTAACCAGACTGACTATTTGCCGCAAACTAAAGCGGAGCTCACCTGATTACAAGGAAGCTTGGTGGATCAGTAAAGTTCAATAACTGTAGGAGGCTGGGGCAGTAAGCAATTATCGCAGCCGCCACATCTGGTCCCAGGAAACCAAATGTCAGTGGGGCAATCCGAGACAATGTGGTTGCCCTGATTCACAATAAGGAGCGCGGTCTGGCTCGTCATGTGGAACACATTCGCAAGCATTTTGCTTGACCTCCTCTCTTGGGTCTTCCTTCTGAGGTAGCACAGACTGAGTCGTTGTTGCTTAGCTTAAAGGTTTAACTTAGAGTGGATTTAATTCGATACGTGATCACAACTCTCAGTCGTTTTCGACCAGTTGGTCCAGATTCCCTTACACGTCTGCACTATGTGTCCGGGTGGTAATGATGTCTTGCATCTACACTATGTAACGGTCATAATGTATTCTGCAAAACACTGACCTTCGTCTTCGAACACGTCTGGAAGGAACAGACCATCCCAGTCAACTGGATTGAGTCGATCATAGTGACAATCTACAAGAACCGCAGTCACACCGACTGTGCTAACCACGGTTGTTACTCCTCGCAGCCGATGATGACGGCGGAATCGGAATCCCGGATGAGAGAAGCGCAAGCAAGTTTGAGCCTATGGAGGGCTCTGTGTAGACGCTACATTTACTCTATGCCAGGTATTAGCATGGCATCACACGTACTGTAGGTTTGCAATTGCTGTGTTCCTCGGCTTCAAAAGTGACTTTGATTCTATGTACTGATCCATTCTGTTCGAAATACTTACGCAGAAAGGTGTTCCCATGAAATATGTGAACATTCACTTTCGTACGGTGTCATTTGCGCCTTGTCGTCGAATATTCTATTGGTTGATGCTAATTATTTTCCACGTGATTGTGCTTATTCTGAATCGTTTTTGCTCTGCATCACTGGTGACTATATCAGTGTCTTGAAAGCGGGTTCGATTATCCAACTCACACTTGGAAATGTCTTTATCAATCCGGACTGAATTCATTACTCTCCACAATTTTGCGGTCCACATTTATCTCATTCAATTGCCCCTTTGGTCGAATTCCGCTTATCTGAAAACAATTTTCGTGCATTTTGCGCACATCCCTCATATGTTGTTTCGGTCTCGCCATCACCTTACTGTCTTTTTTTTCGAAGCATCCTTACCTGATGCGGGTTACTCCTCACCGAAGTCGACTACCGCCCATTTATCAACGAAATGCAGTCAAACAGTGAGTTAGAGCATTTTTGGTTTAAACCAGTCTGTTTGCCATGGTCTAAACATAGTCCCTGTTTACCGGCCTAGTAGTACTCCATTCTGTGGACTAACATTGTCCGCCTGTTTCAAATGCAGTCCAAACGACCGATTTGACCCAAGTGTACTTCAACTTGATCCACGGTCCGAATTGAAATTGCGCGTCCTAATCCATTCACACGACATTTGTTACAAAATAACCCACCAATAATTGTTGCCGTTTTCTTCCACTCTCACTGCGGTGAATTACATGTCAATTTTTCTCGATATGTATTGTGCGGTTTTACCTAGTAATCTAGTGAACGCCAATATTTACGTTAATTCGAATTTTCATTGTTTTCCACACAAGAAGAGATCATTCATTATACACTTTAGCTAGAAGTGGGAATACCTCAATCATTGTGTTACAATACATAGAAAAAATAATAAGGGGACGCAACACAGGCGCACCAGGTGAGCCACTAGTAACGGATGGACATCATTCCGTAGAGCTATCAGCCGTGAGTTATGCCGCAACAAGTTATATTATGTTTCAGGAAGTAGATCGTGCTTGGAGGGGGTGGGACAAAGCAACTCACAACACGAACGCCATTCAGATCGGCTACTAGGCATGTCAACAAGTGTTTCCAGCCAAACGTGTTCATTATCTTTCGGACCCCTGCCAGGAAGTAGATAGGCTGCAACCGTGGCCAACTTTGAAATGAGGAACTTCATTCCTCTTTACCAAGTTATTATTTGGTTACCCATCCTCTTCTCGCTCTACATCGCCGGCGCGCAAACAACGCACGTCGAGGGAGCCGGTGGGTTAGCATGCACAACAAGTGGCCCAGCCATCAGAGCCCGGTGCGTGAAACAACCGTGCTGAGCGGTTTCTTTCCGCTTCTTGCGCCATAAACAAGGCGTGGAACAGGCTCATTACTCACCCGGTGTTCCCACCAGATAAGGGCCAAACTGCAAAGGCACCGGTGGTCGATCCTAACTAGCCTTTTTATGTCTTCCGATCTAATGGGCCAGATTTCACAACCTTACAGTAGGGTCGAACGAACGGCTGCATTGTACACTTTACCCTTCACGCAGTGATGTCGCGCAGGCGTCATAAGTAGCGTAGGTAAGCCAAAGTGCCTCGACCTTTTGCTATACGTTTCGTGACTTCGTCTTCCATTCCACAGTTGTTGATACAACTGCCTAGGTAGTTGAATTTCTGAACGACTTCTAAGTGATCTCCACCGAGAGTCAGCGCAGGAGGCGGTCCCTGCCTATGTTGGAGGCAAGGGTTGCACTTCGAGGGTGCAAAGCATAGCCCGAAACGGCTGCCAGCCAGTGCTAATCTGTCCAGTGCCGCTTGGCATGTTTTGGAACTGTCACATATTAGGGCAATATCGTCCGCATACTCCAAGTCAAGAAGTCCTTCACCGGAAAGTAGCTCCACACCTTCTAAGTCGTGTCCTGTGAACGCGATCTCCATGACTGCGTCAACATTAAAGTTGACTAGCAAAGGTAACAGTGGGCATTGCTGTCTCACACCGCTGGCAATATTGAAGGTCGACGACAGCTTACCATAAGCCCTCTGCCAAAACTACGCTAGTATAGCGCTCGGATAATATTTGCATATTTCTCGGGCACACCTTTCCTGACTAGACAGTTCCAAAGGGCACATCGAGCAACTGCATCGCAGGCACCTTTGATGTCGTGGAACACGGTAACAGTAGGTCGCCAATATATGTGAGAGTGCTCCAACAACAGACAAAGTGCATATGTAGTCGATGCAGCCCCGACCTCAACGAAACCCGACTTGCTCCTCATGAATCTGGCTTTCACAGATTGCAGTCTGTGAGTACAGAGGAAAGCAATTTGGAGGCGTGAAGGATCAGACTGATTCCTCCATGGTTACCGCATTCCAAATGGGAGCCTCCCTTGAAGATTGGGCTGACAGAGCGGCTCCAGTCGGTTGGGACCGTTTCTTGCTACCACGGTTCCACTAGTAACTCCTTAGAATCATCAACGAGAGCAAATCTCCATAATTTGAAGAGGGATAGATAATGATCATCTGGTCCCGCGGCCTTATTCAAACTCAGCTGTCCGGTCTCACTTTCGACTTCAGATTGAGAGGATGGATCCCAAGCGACAGCCCAGGAAGTAGGGTCAACACTGGCCAGTGAGGAATCTAACAATTCTGACCGATTACATTGCCTTTCCAAATGCTCAGCCCAACACTCCAAGCGTTTAGACTAGTTGTGGATAGGCTGTCCGCTCTCACCACCTATGGTTTCACCAACCCCAGGTCTTCCTGCTGCTAGTTTCCCGCACCAGACGCAATAACCTCCGATGGTTACTAAGCGCAGCGGCCACATCCATCTCCGACGCACTACGAGACAACCAGGATTCGCGTTGTCTCTTCATGCTAGCACGCATTTTGCCCTGATGTCTTCGCGAGTCTCTTTATGTTCGCTTCCGGCCCGAATGTGTCGGCGAGCATCGATAAATTCCGAAAACTGCATGGAGACCCAATGCCCATGTTGGTAATCAGATATGCGACATGAGGACATGCCTGCTGCTAATAACGTCTGGCGGATGTGCGACCAGTGACCCTTAACTGTGTTCATTGAGCGCCTCCTCAGTCCGCACGCCAGCGTACTTTGATACGCATACAGAACATCTGGCTTCGCGAGTTGTCTAGTGTCAATGCGCTCATACCGTCTTCTTAGGTGTCCACCAAAACGCACCTGCAGATCCAGCACATACAAGTGCATGGTCAGTGTCCACATATGTGCACCAAATCGAGCGACAGTTATGGGCGTAGCCTCAGGAGGCACGATAAAAAATACGAGCTTGTTCGCTAACCTTTGTTCTGATGTTCTCCCAAGGCATTAGTGACACAGTACTCAGATTTATTGAAACCGGACACCAGCTGCTACTCTTGAAGCGAAACAGATTCCCCGGCTCCCAATGGACTCCTTTCATTTGTTGTTACTTTCGCCACTTTATTTGACCTTCTAGGGCAATGAAGATGTTGCTTCTAACTACTAGTGGCTGTAAACCGTTATCTCCTTTCTACCTAAGTTCATAGTGTCTCTTTCGGAAATAATCTAGGCGTCCACCTAGTTGCGGTTGACTCCTGGTCACCCACAAACACCACTTATGCTGCTCACTGATATTCGTGAAAAGGTATTCAGTGTTGGATATTGCTTTGACTACATCTCTCCTCTCCGTCAAGAGCTTGGGAAGCTCTTCGCACATAGTTGCCCTGCTACGGTGGCTTTTTCTATTTTATTGGCTGTTACTCGACCCACTTATCGCTCGTACCCGTGAACTTAATTCCTATCTATGAAAACATCGAGATACATTGTTTCTCTGCCTTAAAACTTATTTCGCCTACTTTTTTCGCTGTTTATGTGATCTCTTTCTGTTGTTTTCTTTTTGTCTCCGCACTATGCAAATGATTCCACCGCACTTCCGTGCTCGATCGTCACTGCTTGATTAAACATTATAAAGCAACTCTTTTGTATCTTGAAGTGCTTTCTTTAATTCTGCTACGGAGGGCCGATCATGTGCGTAGGCAAATCCCTATTCGTTTTCTGTTCGTCAGTGGGTTCCTTGTACTACTATCACTGACTATCTTCACCTGTATCATTTCCTGTCTAAGTGAACACATAATTCAATCAAACTCCTCAATACCTTCAAGACTCTCCGCAATGCGTGCACCCAACAGCAGATGCACCCACGCTGGCGTGTGCGGCCCATTGAATGGCCAGCCACCTCATCCACTTGGAAAGTGGTTACGAGTGTTTCCTACTGCGTACGTATTTATTCAACATGGTTGTGCTCTTAGTGTTCTTGAGCAGAGACATTCGTGCATGCCTCGTCGTCTACGGTCGTAGACCGATTGTGCATTGAGAATGTGGGTCTAGACTAGTGTTGATGCGTAAAGTAAACCAAAACGAGCCGCTTGCAATGCATCCGAGCTCCATCGAGAGCGGTGGAACGCATGTGAGCTGAAGCGCTGCGACAACGGTAGCACAGTGGCAGAATGGAACAGATGTCTACACAGACCGGTGAACGGTCGTTGTTTGTTTTCTTATTGCTCAACCTTTGGTCGTTTCTCTGTACAAACAACAGCTTTCACGAGTCGGGACGAAAGTTGAGTGCCTTCTGACGAGCGCGATGCTTGCGGCTTATTGAGAAGTAGTGTGGCATGTAATATTGGCCAAGGTTCATCTGTCACGTGATAATCTCTTCAAGCTATCGATTAACTGCTTAGGTGGTTCTCTGTGTACACTGTGCCGTAGTTCCACTGCATCGGCTTGCATGCGTTTCAATCTAATAAGTACGCTTAAACAAACCGGTGTTACGGTGGTCATATCGTGCACTCCATTGGTAACGCACATTGATATTGACGGCAACAAGTTGTGTACATTTTTAGCTGACTACAGTGCTCTACCTATGTTTATTATTGGTGTACTTTATGTGAAGCCTCGCGCCTACATATGCCTGAACTGTGTTGAAAAATCGGTGATAGTTCGAACTTTACTTACTTTACTGCGGCTAGCTTCTACGACGGGATGAGCCGGCTTCATGGATGTTGCGCATTGCAGCTGCCCAAGGGCCGCGGTCGGCGGAAAGCTCCACGCAGATGTTGATCCAGTGATTCCTCCAATGACGAACACCATGCACAACATGGAGTCCCAGAAGATCGACATCCGATCTCACTGCAGCGAGCCACGTTTTCAGTTGTCCACCACGGCGACGACACCAACCCTGGCAAGGCGATGGTGAAACCACGGCTCTAGTGAAGTCAGTGTTTGGTCTGCGGAGGACGTGACCGAATCACTGAAGTCTGCGGCGTTGGATGAGTGTTGTGAGCTTCGGAAGATCGTGATAGTGCTTACGGATTTCGTCATTGGTAGCACGCTCATGCCTCTGCGTTTCCAACGCAAAATTTAAACACCAGTGGTCGAAGACTTCCAGCTTTCAGGTGTCTTCGGATCGTAGCGGCCGTTTCGCAACCATAGAGTAAAATAGCACGAATGGTTGCCGAGAATACTCGGATCTTCTTTCTCATATTAATTTCCGTCCTTCGCCACAATGTGTTTCTCAGTTGTAAGAAAGTTGTCCTAGCGCTGTCAATACGATTCCGGATTTCGGATGCAGCGGGAACATTGGGGAGTATAGTGGATCCAAGATACTTGAACTTAGGAACAGATTCGATGAGTTGTCCATGTAAGGAGAGCGATGAGACTTACTGGGTGGCTAACAGTGTGGAGTATTTCGTCTTAATGATGTAAATTTTGAGGCCGCCTTTAGAGGCTGATTGGTCGACCCGATTTAGCAGTGATTTTAGTAACATAGCATCTCCCGCAAGGATAACAATATCGTCAGCAACTTCTAGACCTGACAGCCAGAAGTCAAGGCTAACTTGAACACCACAATAGCCCATGAGGGCATGATACGTAACCCAGTCGACTGCGAAGTTGAACAGCACTGGAGAAAGTGGGTAAGCTTGTTGGACTCCAGCATTGATGTCGGATTTCTTTATTTCTTCTCCGTAGACCCGAATCTGGGCCTTCGTTCAACGGTAGTATGATCTCAGCAATTTAACGAGTGTAACCAGCACACCTTCGGCAAGTAGGACTCTCCAGAGTGCATCAACTGAGGCAGCTCTAAAATCAACGTAACACACAAACCCGGGCTGCTGGAACTGAGAATAGTGTAGGAATACTCGAAGTAGTGTGAAGATTTGGTCACTACATCCTCTGCCTAGACGAAAGCCACCTTGGTTATGGTGAGTTCGCTGGTTCCTCTCATTGGTAAAGCGGGAAAGCAAGATTCGTGCAAAGGTTTTGGCAGCCACATCGCTTAGGATAATCCCGGGATAATTACTGCACGCAGTTCGATCACCTTTCTTGGGAAATGGCACTAGTACTGAGGTACTCCACGAGGAAGGACAAATTTCGGTCTCCTATATCGAGCAGAAGAGCACGTGCAAATGGTCATGGAGAGCTGATAGACAAGATTTGTAGATTTCCGCTTGAATCCCGTCCGCTCCCGGGGCGTTCTTCGGCTTCAGGCGACGAACGATGTCCGCAATTTTTGTGGGAGATGGTGAGGAGCAACTCTCGTCATATCCTGGTTGGGTTATTACTGAAATGAGTGCGGTGGTGTGTAACGGGCGGTTTAGGAGGTTACTAAAGTACTCTACCCATCTGGAAAGTTTTCCTATCGTATCAGGGATGATTTGGCCTTCCGAATTGCGCAATATCGGCTGTGGTGAATAGCGCTTGCTGGAAGCTAAATGGACGAGACGAAAGAGATAACCCAAATTACGAGAATTTGATGCAGCTTCCATGTTGCCTGCAGTATCAGACCAGTAGCGGTTTCGATCATTCCGTGCTGAGCGGGTCACCTCACCTCTCAAGCGACGGTAGTCTGTGGTATTCATCAGACTTGCTTCTCTCGCTTTAGCGGATAATATATTCAACGATCCAGTCCTTCACAGTCTTAGAGCTAGAGCCCAGGGTAGATAAAGTGGCGCGTTGAACTAACGACTTTAGCCTAGACTAACGAGCGTCTACAGATTCATCTTCTGCAATTACGAGGCGTGGTGCACTGGTAGAAATTTCAACTTCTATTGCTGCCTCAAGGGATCGACAACAGTTATGATTTTCCAGTGGGACAGTGTTGATGCGCTTTGGTGGAGGGGTCTTACGGCCCGTTGTCAAGCGGAGTCTGAATGTGGCGCGCAGGAGTACGTGATCCGAATCAGCTTTACTGCCCATTTCAGTCCCTCTTTATCCTCGACAATCATCGATGGAGGACATCCACCTGGATCGGATTAAGGTGTAATCTATCTGGCTTGCTGTACGACCATCATTGGAGTACCACGTCAGTAGATACTTCCTGGGATGCTGGAAGCGAGTATTGATTACGCACAACCGGTTAAGGTCAGCGAAAATAAACAAGCGGTGTCCATTATCACAACGCTCTCCAAGGGCGTATCTCCCGAGTATGTGACGGGTTTGATCGTTCCTAGGACCGGTTCGTGCATTCCAGTCCCCAGCAATAATGAGGATTTCGTGTTTTGGAACATGGTTAATCAATATCTGTAGGGTATCGTAAAATTCGTCTTTGTCCCATTCCGCTGAGGTTAGGGTTGGTGCGTAGGCATAGATTATGGTCAGATTCATAGGGTGACCTTTGAAGCGTGCAACTGCTATTCTAGCTGATACTGAATTCCATGAAAAGAGAGCGTAGTGTGCCTAGCAACTGAGAGCCATGGCGACCCCGTGCTTGCCAGAATTATCTTCCAGCCCGCTGTGCTAAAGCCAATATTAGGTGTCTACACCAGGGATTGATTTTCGAGATACTGACAAGCATGCTATGTCGATCTGACAGTCATGTAGTGTGCGCATCGCCAGTGCTTGGCTGTCGACATCCAACAGGGTTCTGACATTCCGGGGATTGAGTGACCCAGCTGGCTTACTTGTCACTCTGGGTTAGAACAGAGCGCGTCGCCTGCCGGGAACGCTACAGCATGAGAAGAATCGCGGGTAACGGACACGTCAAGGAGTTTCGTATGGATTATGGGTACGTATTAGGACTCCAACCTCATCCGACTTTTGTTCGAGGCTTCACCTCTAACCTTAGCACAGCCAAGTGCTACCTGCAAGGCCACGCGGATCTGGGAAATCGTCTTAACTTTTGGCTTTAGATCAACGGTCGATCTCTTCCTCCCAGTTGTCAGGACTGACATTTCACGCGAGTACGAAGTCACCGGGAATAATATTTCCGGTTACCCTCACCTGGTTTAGCCCCCTGTCTGACGATTGACTTGGATGTGGCCGCTGCCGCGTGCAAGCAGCTTCTTGGAGCCACAGGTGAGAGCTAGGTGACAAGTGGAGACTAAAGACAGGCGGACTACCCCCTTAGGGTAAGGCAGGTCCCCTCCCTGGCACCGGGACGCTCTTAGTTCGAACTTACTAGTTTGTATATTACCTTTTAGCGTCTAAAGTGGTCTTTAACATGTTTTTTTTATAGTTTGCATTCTTTTACTACCCACTGAATTGCACTGGGTGGGACTCTCTTGCTCCTTAATCGTTGTTGGTTCCAATTTGGCCTTTAGTCAGAGGTCTGGTGCACTCAGCCGGCAGGTAGCCAAAAAGGTGCGGCATCTGCTTTGTAATGTTAAACGTCAGGAATCTTTGTAGGTGTGTGCGACCTCACAGTATCTTCCGTCTGCGCGCCACTGAAGTTTTCCTTGGAGGCTTTGTTTCTTCTGATTTAGGCAACCTTCCCGGGTAAAATGGGGTTGGTCTCATTAATATTTACATTTTCACTCACCATCCGATTAGTTTTTTCCCTACACGGATTCAGGCCTCCACTTTCTTATCTGATGAAACTTCCAAGTGTTGAGCACTACGCGCACATGTCAGTTGAACTCATTGTGTGACAAGCGCAGCTTGTTTACTTGTGTGCAGTCAGAATGTTTATTTCACAGGCTCGCCGTCATCGCTTGTCGACTGCATTCTACCGTACTTTTCTCGTAAGACGTACTACTTTTACACATGTTGGAATGTTTTCCCCACTGCTATGAACCTGGCCGCAGTAGTTTATCATATCTGGTTTGATCGGCCGGTGGCCAAGTGGTCTGCGCGTTGGGTTTGCAACCATAAGGTCACCGGTCCGAATCCGCGTAGGGGTGGGTCTCCTCGCGGTATACTCAGCCCGCACGCGACTGGTGGTGGTCGCGCAGAAGCGAAGCACGGTTAAGGCGTACAGCTGATATTTCTTCATTCTGGTTTATTAAATCAACTTGCAGTATACATCGGTACCCTTTTACTTTGAAGGAAATGGACGATCTCCTTTCTCTATACGGTTTGCTCGAGCCAGCACCCAACGTGAAGGGGGATTTTCCTCACATGCGATTGCTACAGAAGGTGTTCGGACCCCAATGTGCACGGTGTCTACATGCGCAACTGATTCCATCCACTGTGGTAACTACGCGTCTGTTAGACAAGCAGTTATATTTGTTCATCCGAAAGCGATTGCAGTCTCACAGGTGGCGTACTTGGGACATAGTCGCGAATGCGATTGATCAGTTAGTGAAGCCGCAACAAGTGAGGCCGCATCCAAATTCTTTACATGGTTTATGATTGCTTTTCATTTTCTTTTCGTCTTCCTCTTATCCAAAATTAAGCCCGGTCAACGCCTGCTTTGTTTAAGAAATTACCTTTTCGGGATCATGAAATACCGATGCACATATGCATAACCTTCACTTTGTTGTTTGTATTGAAATGTAAACATCTATTCATCGCATCTGACTTTCCTCCAAGTGAAAAAACCTTTTATCCCACGCAGCTGGCGACATTTCCATGCCCAATACGGCATAATGCAATACTCACCTGGACCCCGGTCAACTTTCAAGTAACAAACTTGACCGACGCTCTGCAGTCCATCCGTTGTTCATTATTAAATGTGTTGTTTTCACCCCTTCTGTTTCTTTGTCCAGTACCTGGTTAAGCTTTCGTTTTCGGGAATTTGTCGAATTACATATTCACCCTACTACACTGACTACAGAGTCTACCATCCAGTTCACTTGATCAACTATGATTTAAAATACACGCGGTTACCGTCTACAAACGAATTTATTACCAATCCTCATGATCTGGTAAATAGGAGTTAACAGAAAAGGTCAATTCAAAGATAGCTAAATCTCTGGGATTGGCACTGTCGTTGTGACTATGCTGTGTCCGATAGCTTTTTTTCGTCATCAACGTGTCTGATCGCTAGGACCCCATCGAAGAAGGTTAAACGTTGCAACCCGAGTCAGCATTTCTGCGATCTCCTTCAAGTTCTTTTGCGACATCATCGTGGTGATGCCACTGGGCTTCGCTCGACTAATTGCTGTATTGGTGTGCGATCCAGGTCCTGGCAGCGAATATACGGTGGAGACTTCAGTGGGACAGCGGACATCAGTATTACTCACTCTAGGGTAGAGCTGTGTGTTCAGTGGTTTTCAACCACGACATGCTTCGCGATCGGCAGTCTTCTCCTCCGTACACTAACTGATAGCACTCCGAGGGTGTGCACTTTACTTTTAATCAGTAAGCTTTACTTCATTATGTTGAATGTTCTCTCTGAATTCGGGTATCGCAGATGAAATTCGGACGTAATCAGTCTTCATCCATCACCCATACCTTCCTGTTCAAAAATCGGCTGTTGTTCTCAAATTCATTTAACTTCAAATTCTAGTGTTTTTCTACGATTTATCTTGCTTTGCTTTTGTAGCTGGAGCGACTTGTCTGTGGTTCAGCGAAATCCTCCGGTTTACCGGTCACTTTGTCCACCCCCTCAGAACAGCCACTTGCAGATACAATTTGTTCGAGACTCCGTTCTTCTTCATCTCCTGATGTCAGTTCCGGTAACGAAGATGACGGTGACAATGATATTGAATCGTCGAGTCGAACAAACGTGCTTTCCCGCTTGCAGCTACTTGTCTTCGCCTTATCCGACCTACAGGCTAAATTGGAAGAGGCGAAACGGAAGCCACCTACGTCTGAACCTTCCACCGGTCTTTCAACGAATGCTAATCTAGTTGCCTCAGATTTATACCGCACAACTTTACAAAAAATAAAACGTACGTCCTCGCCCGTATGTCAGTCGCCATTCTTTATCTTGAGGCGTTTATCGGCATAATTATTCTCACACAAATGAACTTGTGCATGGTGCCCATTTTGGAGGTTCTCGAATTACTTTACTCTGACGTTCACCAATGCACATTTAGCTGTAGTTCAACTATGTGCCCCATTGCCGATTGCCGAAATGAATTGCGTTGGATCCCTTTTATTCTCTTCATCTCCCTTATGTACTCTTCTCATTTTGCTAGAGGATGTCCTGGCTTACGTTCATTCTTGCCAAACCCGAGCTGCTCAGACCCTTCACTTCGAACTGGCCCGGGTTCATCGTCGGGCATGTCGACAGTTCATGACCCACTTGAGACGCGCCCTATACGATGCCGGTGCTCTTGGTCCGGCTAGTGATATGATTTCTCCTCTCAAGCGCAGTAGCAGTGTGCCGCGCACAGTATTTGAGCCTGGACCCTCGAGCAGTCAGTCTGGCAAATCCTACTCGGGCGACGGCGAATATCGGCCTGTCTCTGCAACAGTACCTTCTCGCGTGGGTAGTTCAGGTGCGAACTCGACAATCCAGTCAACCGCCCTCATACCCCAATGGTAGGTACACCTTCGCCTCATTCTTACTTGCTTATGTTTTGTTATCCTCGTTCATCAACGTCATCTAGCTTTCTTGCATGCTAACCTAAGTCAGTCCTCTTCCTGCACATCACTACTGCATCGGCTTTTGCGTACCATCTTGTTGGGGTTTCGTACTTCTATGGATCATCCCACTAATTGCTCTTCAAATATAGTTTCTCCGAGGTGTCTCTATTTCCCCGTCTTTCCTTGAATACAGTGAACAAAGGAAGCACGGTCGGTTCACTTATTTCTCTTAGTTCAGCGCGTTTTTAGAAATTTTTCAATAACGTTTGTTGACGCATTTTCATTTATCCTTTTTCTTACTGCTTGCTGCTTTACTTGCTTTGAGCCAGCTGGATTGTCACTTAATGCTTCAATGCCTCAGAGACACCAGCATATTACAATTTGACCATTTGGCTCTGACACTTCTCACGGTGATTTTATGCTTGCGAACATTATGTGGATTTGCCTGTCACTGTGGCCAGCCACAAAACACCTACGCCTACAGAGCGACCATGAATGGCTTGCGCCGCACCACCCACAGCTCCAACCACACACCCAATATCTAGTGTAAACCCGAAGGAATAAGACCGGGAGGCATGTGGATGGGAGTCACGTTTCCTCAACGGAGCCGGCCCACACTCATTCACAGGCAAACACAAGCACGCTGTATTTGGGGAATCAAGCACACACAAGGTAGTAGCTGGACCGTAGTCCGCTACACACTGAGTGCATGGAACCATTCTTCGAGTCTAACACGGCCACAAGGACCGTGTACCCCGTCCCGTTCAGCAACGATCAACTGTCTCCTAGAGCCTGTATGGACCAGGTACGCACCTTGTCAACATGCACATCAAGCGCAGCCACACCGGTGATGTCAAACAACAATCAATCACTTGAAATGACATTACCAAATAAAATAGCCCTGTTAAAGCATACGGCTATGCCGACATAACTCTTCGATAAATTAGTATATGGATTAAGTTAGTTATCAACGAATCCGCGATAAGTACGAAAGATCCACAAGTTACCCAAAAATACTACAAACACAATAAAGTTAAGGTACATAACCACAGTTAGCGTAAGCAACGTGGCCAGTTAATAGATTATACAGGTAAGCAGAAATAAAACCAAAAGGATGGAATGAAACATATCCGCCTTAAAAAGACCTAGTTTAAGTGTAAGTTGGTTTAGCCCAACTGCGGTGAAGAAGCATCATGAATGCAACATCAGCCTCAGCAAGGGCAGCGCTATATATATATGTATATATATATATATATATATATATATATATATATATATATATATATGGTGGGAGGGCACTTCCTTGTGTTCATTGGTTTGCTACTGCCCGCTTCAAGCCAGGCAGCACCTGGTCAAATTGTTGCAAACCCGCCGAAACCCACCTGCGTCTGGCCGTGGTCGAAGGTGTATCCTATTACGGTCGCAATATATATGAATCGTTCCAGTACCTCGAAGGCTGCATGTGACGGACCTCAAGCAGATCCCGATCTGTCTTTGCAATCACATTCCCGAGCTGGATCTGCTCTCCACTGCCTTGTGGGTAAGACTATTGAGCCAAATGCTCCGGGCTGTCCCTCAAGCAAACCTCCAAACCACCCACTGCCTTGTGGGTCAGGCTATTGAGCCAAAGGCTCCGAGTGGAGTCCCTCAAGCAAACCTCCGAAGCACCACGACCACCTCGCGTGCGATTACCCACTAATGCAATCGTATGCCTGCGCACAAAGCACTCAGCATCGGGTGCTGGAACGTGCGCACACAATTGGACCGGAACTGCAGTGAACGCCCGGAGTGACGTACTGCATTGGTCACGATGGAACTGGCGCGCTACCACATCGATATTGCGGCGCTCAGTGAAACTCGGCTCGCTGAGCAAAGTAACTTGCATGAAACAGATGCTGGCTACACATTCTACTGGGTGGGCAACGCCGCCTCAGCACCACGTGAACATGGGGTTGGATTTGCAGTATCCGATCGCCTCGATTGCCAACTGGTGGGTGAACCAACAGGCATCAACGCGCGACGGTTGACTGTTCGCCTACGACTCGGAAGAGGTAAGTTTGCCACCTTTATAAGCACATACGGTCCGACTATGTGGTATCCTGATGACACGCGTGATCAATTCTACACTCAGCTATCCTCCGTGATACGGTCCGTGCCGAGCAGCGACCGACTATTTCTGCTGGGTGATTTCAACGCGCGCGTTTAGCGTGATGCATCGGTGTTGACGATGTCATCGGGCCGCATGGCATTGATTCAGCGAATGCGAACGGTGACAGGCTGCTCTCACTGTGTGCCACTCACGGCCTGACGATCACGAACACTCGGTTTGCACTGAGTGCGAGTCATATAGCAACTTGGACGCACCCACGGAGTGGTCACACTCACCTGCTCGACTATGTCATCGTACGTCAGCGTGATATGTGTGAAGTGCGCATGACATGTGTGGTGCGTGAAGCTGAGTGTGACACTGATCACGAATTGGTGTGGACAAAACTCTACATATATTTTCGTAAATTTATGTATTGCACTCCCACCGTGAATCGACGTGAATTTAACATTCTCTCCCTCGGTACTGTGGAGAAACGTATTGAGCTGGAGAAGGCGCTGGCTGCATGCCTGTGTGATGTGGACTGCATAGCCACAGTGGGCGACCTGTGGCACCACATTCGCGACCAGGTGACAGCTGCTGCCGAGGAAACCACCGGGCGCGCAAACTGTAAGCGGCCTGAGTGGTTTGATGAGAACAATGCGACGATTGGCGCATTGATGTTGGAGAAGAATGCAGCATTTGCTGCACATGTGGCAGACCCCAGTGACTTGGTTTAGAAGAGTCAGTTCCGCAGAAATCGACGGCGACTGACCCGAGAGCTCCGTCGCATTAAAAATGCATGGTGGACGGAGAAAGCGAAGCAGATGGAATGCTACGCCGAACGTCGCCAACACAAGAAATTCTTTGACTCTTTGAAGGCGGTGTATGGACCGAGATCGGAACAGCTGAGGACGATGATCGATGGTAGTTCAGGCGCTACCTGCACACAGACTGCAGACATAATGCAGATCTGGCGGAAACACTTTTCTGTCTCTTGAACAACTGTTCAGAGATCGACTGGCCTGCATTGAACGGCCTTAAGTCGTACGATGTGAAGGCGAGTCTGGCGGGCACGCCGACACTGTATGAGACGCAGAGAGCACTTGCTCAGCTGCGAAACGGCAAATGTGCCGGGGGTGACGGGATCCCGCCTGAAGTTTTGAAACACGGTGGACACGCGTCGTTGACTGCGTTGCTCCACTTGTTACAACGCGTGTAGATTGAGGAGGAGGTGCATCCTGAACTGAATGATGCCCTTGTGCTGCCACTGTACAAGGGCAAAGGGAGCAAGCTATGTTGCACGAGTTAGGGTGACATCAACTTGCTGACTTGTGTGCGCAAGGTGACTGCCCGAATCCTGCTTAACCGCTTTATTAGTCAGGTTGTGGAACCTAACGTGGCGGAAGAGCAGTGTGGATTCCGTTCGGGTCGCAGCACTATAGATATGGTGGTTGCGGCTCGTCAGTTACAGGAGAAGTGCAGAGAACGACACCAGTCGTTGTACTCGCTTTTTGTTTATTTCACCAAGGTATTTGATACAGTGAACCGCGAGACATTGTGGCTGGTGTTGGGTAAGTTTGGTTACCCGCGTAAGTTGGTAAATGTAATTGAATGTCTGCGCATTGGTATGCGGGCGAGGGTGCAGCTGAGTGGTGAGATCTCGGATGACTTTGCAGTTGTCTCTGGTGTGAAGCAAGGCTGTGTCTTAGCTCCTGCCCTGTTTAATGTTTATCTTCATGCAATGATATCTTGTGCTTTTGATGCGGCTTGTGCTTACGGTGTTCTTGTGGAGCACTGTATTGATGGTGGGTTGGTGGGTTTCGGTGCGAGGACCCTGGTTTGTGAGACAACTATCCGTATGTTGTTGTTTATTAACGACTGTGCATTGTTTTCACACAGCGCGGATGAGTTGCAGCACATGACTAGTGTTCTGGCTTCGACAGCGATCAAATTCGGGCTCGCCATCAACACAAGCAAAACTGTCTGTCTCTTTCAGCCTTCACCGGAGGTGCAATCTTCAATATTGCCGCGAATCAGCATTGGTGCTGAAGTATTGGAAACCACCTCCCGCTTCTGCTGCCTTGGGTGTGTGATGTTGACTGACGAGCAGCTACACAGTGAGCTGCATATTCGCGTGTCGAAGGCAGCGGCGGCATTCGAGAAGGTAGAGTACCGAGTGTGGAACAACCATCAGTTTACCATAGGCACGAAGCTGATGGTGTACAAATCCATTATGCTGTCCGTTCTTCTATACGGTAGTGAAACGTGGACGATGTACCGGCGGGATGTGCGATATCTCGAGCAGTTCCATCAACAGTGTTTGCGGCGGATTATGCGCATCGAATGGGGCGAGAGTTGCAGACACGGAAGTGTTGCGTCGAACTGGAATGTATGCAGTGGACTGCATACTTTTGCTGGGACACCTGAGGTGGCTCGGTCATGTGAGCTGTATGGATTGGATGAGGATACCGAAACAACTCTTATCTGGTCCGCTGAGTATTGGGAAGCGGCATACGCGGAAACCAAAATTACGTTACCGGGACATGATTAAAGTGAGCCTCTCACGTTCCAATCTTGACTGCAGATTTTGGGAATCGAAAGCGGTTGATCGGCGTGCATGGCGCGACCTGGTCACGAAGGCAGTTGCCGAAGTGCTGGAGAAATACCTCATGGTTGCAGAGAAGAAGCGGCAAGCACCGATAGGTTTTACTCCATCGATATCGAGCGCATGGTGCTGTAGCACATGCGGTCGTGATTGCCTAAGTCAGGCAGGCCTAGTAAGCCATGAGTGAGGCCAATCCGGACTACTACCGAAGCGACGACGGGTCCTGCAGAGAACGTAGGCATAACCAGCGCAGCGTTTGTA